TTTCACAAAATTCTATGTTCAATATCGTTCAAATGAAATCAATTTTGATATTTTTTTTTAATTCGCTGAAGTTACCAAAAAAGAAACAGTTTTCGCAAATGAAATCGATTTAGATATAATTCAATTCGCTGAAGTCACCAATAAGAAACGGTTTTGAAGTTTATTTTTACAAATTCAAAACGGAGAAATTTACAGAATTTCCATTGGTTTTACGTTTGAAACGAAAATGATAGAGTTATTTTTGATGATGAAGTCAGACTGACCGCTTCCGCATGAAAAATTAAACTGAGTTATGTTTCCTTTACCGTTTGACATTTGTCTGGCAACTACCATGAAAAAATATATTTGACCATTACTGAATTATTTCATTTGTCTATACTGAATTCATCTTTCTTAAAGACTGACAATAAAACCAATAAACATTTCAATCTCTTGAATTGTTGAAAGAAATAGATCTCTTTTAGCCTTTGAATCATAATACTAACTAAGCAAAAAAAACTGGTCTAACGACACATGGTTCTAATGTGTTCCTCATTTTACCGCGCGTTTTAGTGCATTTTGAATAAATGTAAATCTGTGCGTTATTTTGGTCATCAATTGTGATTTTTCTTTCATTTTCAATTGCAAACAAAACTGAAGAGAAAAAAAAGATATAAAATATTTTTTTTTGCTTTCACTGAATACCAAAGTATTGGTTTTCAAGTGTTCGCTGAGACCACTTCACCAAAGTATGTACTGATAAATAATGTCTACAATTTGTGTGATATGCATATCATAAAATGGTAGTCTAAAACAAAGTCTTTGATTTAAATAAGAGCAAATTTACGAAGTATAAGTTCCTTGCTTACTCCTCCTTACGCGTAAAAGAGTTTACAGAAGTTATAAAATGCAGAACCAGATTCTTACCCTTTTTTATGCTTCAGTACTAAGAAAGTGAAAAAGCGCATAAATTAAATTTAAACGATGACTTTTGATGATACTTTTATTTTATTTCATGAAAGAAAAATCGATTTTGTTTTTTTATTGTTTGAAATACAAGTTGATTTTACAATGAAAATGCATGAAGAATATTTTTAACTAAAAAATAAGAACAAAAAAAGTTTTAATTTGATAAAAACAAGCATTTCTTTGATGCAAAATGATTGTTTTCATTTCATTTTTATAAAAATTGATGAAGAGACAATTAGAAACAAATAAGAACTATATATAATTTCTATATGCTTATTTTCGAATGTTCAAAGACCCTATTTTTTTTATTGTTTTTGCATATGACCTCTATCAACTTTATAATAGTTTCCACTTTAAAAAGAAGCATCATTTTATTTTACGCGTGGCTATCAATTCGGCTTATAAATTTTTAAAAATAAACAGGCAATGACACAAAAAAAAAGATTCATTTCAATTATAATGATTGATGAAGAGACAATTAGAAACAAACACTGTTCACAAAATAAGTATATAATTTCTTTCCTTTTTCACTATATCATCCATCATTCAAAGACGAACGTGATGTTAATACTTCCAGCGTTAAATGATAGCATTGGCTCCATTTCTTCGTATGTTGGTGCGTTGTTAAACCCAAAATTATAGCCACTATTAAACGGCATTGGCGTGTTGTTGAAACCAAATTCAATGCCGAAGTTGTGCGGTGGTGGCGGACCCATTTCTTCGTATGTTGGTGCGTTGTTAATACCAAAATTATAGTCACCATTAAACGGTATTGGTGCATTGTTGAAACCGAAATAATTGGTGTTGTTGAATGGTGGTGGTGGTGGTGGTGGTGTTGTTGGCGTCATTTCATTTTGATGATTTCCCAAAATCAGGTCTATTTCGTTGAGTAACCACATTTCGTCTCCTGTTTGAAGCATCGTCGCGTTTGTATGAAATGATGGCTGTGTTTCACTTCTATCGTCAGCATTCACATCACAATCAAACGTTATGTTTTCACCGTTGGTGTTGGTCGAAAGGTTTGCCAAAATTTCATTCACTTCGCTTGTTATATCTGGCATATCCTCTTCATCGGTATCCCACCCCCAGTAAACGTCCAAATTATTCGGTGGAGAAACGGGGTGTGAATCGTCATCGTCATGTATAATAATGGTTTCATTATCAGACTCGTCTTCGTTGCTTGAAATGCTGATGTTGTCTTCTTCTTCATCGCTTGAAATTACGATGAAATCATTGTCAACGGATCTTTCGCGTAGACGTCTTCCAGTCGATCTTAACCAATAATTACACATATTGTCAAATTGATGTGATTTTACCGAAATGCTATTATAATTTTTCACACAACCAAATTTTTTTAAAAAAAAGGAAAGAAAGCGCACTCGATTCAACGGAATTATGATTTTATTGCACTAAAACGATTGTTCAAAACTAACGAAAGTTTATAATGCGTTTTCCTCTTTTGGTACTCAAGAAGCATAAACTCTTTTGAAATAGATTCTTTTTTTCTTTGGGGTCTGTTGGTTATTTGATGTTACTGTACCACCGATAAAATCATACTGATGATCATATTAAAATCGATCAGAAAAATCAGTTCGGTATTCGCATCATTTTTGATAATGTAAGCAAATTTTTTTAGATTTTTGGAATCAAGCGAGAACAAAACGACGCATGAAACCAATCCGGTACATTCGAAGTGCCGTAAGTAAACGAAAATAATAGAAAGGTCTGCAAATTCCTTTGTCGTTATGATGGAAACGCTGAACATCGAAGTATGACGCAACAGCCGCTAGTGTCAGAAAGTGTGAACAAATGCTTCTACTCACCATAATCTATGATATCAATAATATAAACATTGAAAACGGAATTTAAAAAAAAAGCGTATGCTTTTGCTTTTCGTTTTCATTTCGTTCTTGTTATCTTTCATGGAAATTAAGTTTCGAATATTTTGATACTGAAACGCATTGCGGTTTTAACGCATCAGATGCAATGGTTCATTCTCAATCTTGTTTTTCAATATCATCATAAAAAATGATTCATAATACAATCAAATTCTCTTCCACGCCTTTGTAAAGATGTTTGATTAAAAATGGTTTAAAGATAATTGCCATGTTGAATAACAGGTTAAAGTGGAATACCTTAATGAATTTTTTTTTGTTTCAATGATCAGTTACAATTGTGTGATATCGACACAACTGCGAACAACATTAAAAATGTTATTAATCAAATTAAATTTTGCTATGCATAAATCCGTTGAACCAGTAGTTTTCCACTTTCATTTTGGGCTACGCTCTCAGACAAGAGACAAATATATTTTTTACATTTCACACAGTTCAGTGTTCATGCACTTCAGATGATTTTTATGACCCCATGAATAACTTTGAAAGAACATAAAAACAGTTCTATCGCATCAATAAAAAAATGAACTATTCAATATGTAATGGATATGAACAACCACAATGCATAGTGTGTAGACAAAGTGCATATACGGAATTAAAGTTAGACAAATACAACACCATATGTGCAAACGTTGCGTATATCCAATACACGCACACATATACATGCCCATACGTCGCTTCTGAAAGACGCATCTTGTAAGGGATTACACTTTTAAAGAGTCAAATGAAACACATTCATATTTGCTGAAGGTTTACATAAAACTAAATTCATTTTATTCAAAGAAAGACATGTTTCGATTGTTTACTTTGGTTGACTTTGCATTAAATTGTACTTTGATTGATTTGCATTAAATTGAACTTTTGAACATTGTGAAATAACGATGAAAAAACCTGCTTACTGAAGCTAATTTTACTTTTGCTTGAATACTGTTTATTATTAATTTCTTTGTTCATTCCTGAACATTCTCCCGGGGCAAAAAAAATCTTTAAATAGAAACTTTAAATCAACTTTACGTTAAAATTTTCAAGGAGAAAAAAAATTGGAGAGAAAATAATATTGTATGATTCATTTTTCCCACGGCATTCTGATTTCACTGGAATCGCTGCTCTCGTAGCGAATCCTTTTCATTGCGATTACGTTGCTTTGTCGTGGCTTCGGCATTTGGTTTGTGGTCCCAACGCCGACTTCTATCATTTTTACTTTTCGATGCTCCTTCTTCTTTTTTATGAATTTTGATCGTTTTTTCCATAAAAAGGCCAGAATGTGCAAGATTGTATTCCCGCACAGGCTGCACACCACGTATATTTTTATGGTGCGTTGCGTTTCGGTTACCCTCTCGTCCACCACGCTGTATTGATGCTGACTGCTGGTTTTCAGCTCGGCGATGGTTTTATGGATGGCTATGTCTTCGGTTGCTAGCTTGTCGTAATAATGCCCAGCCAGCCAAAAATCAGGGCTTCTCCGTACGCGCTCCACAGTTGATCCAATTGGAGCCGCGTTTACTCCATTTTTTGTCATTGTGGCTAATGCAACGATCACTAGCAGCGAAATCAAAGTTTGGTTAACGGTTTTTGTTTTGATTTTTTCATTTTTTTCTTTTTCTTCGCTGATGGACGTTGTCGATGTTTGACTGCTACGGTCGACTGGTAATGGTGCCAATTTGGTTATTGGCCGTTTTAACGTGTTGTTGGCCGTTTTAACGGTGGCCACTCGCGTGAGTCCATCTTGTCCTTGATGAACCTCTAACACTCTGCCCATGGGCCATTTGCCCACAGGTGCTGAGTCACTTATCAGCACTAAGTCGTCTTTTTTTATTGCGTCGTTTGGCGTGTGCCATTTTGCTCTTTGTTGAATTGTGTGCAGATATTCATTCTGCCAGCGATGCCAGAACTGCCTCACCGTTTGCTGAACTTTTTTCCAACGATCGAGACAATTTAACTTCACCTCATCAAAATTTTCGTTTGCAATTGCTACTGGATATGAATTTAGCAAAAAATGCGCTGGTGTTAGTATCGTGCTGTCGTTTGTGTCGCAAGACATAGGTGTGAGTGGTCTTGAATTTGCCGCTGCTTCGATTTGAGCCAGTAATGTTGATAGCTCTTCGAAAGTGAATTTTTGCTCACCCAATGCCCTTTTCAAATGCGCTTTTATTGTTTTTACGCCAGCCTCTACAAGGCCGTTGAAATGAGGTGCCGCTGGTGGTGAAAACTTCCACATGATGCCTTGTGTCGTGAGCTCATTTGCTACCTCATCGTTGAACTCCTCTTTTTCGATGATTGTTAACTCGTGTAACAATCGATTCGCTGCAACAAAATTGGTTCCGTTATCGCTGTTTATTGTTTTTATTTCACCTCTTCTCGCGATGAATCGTCGTAGAGCGGCAATAAACGCCTCTGCCATCATGTCGCTCACTAGCTCGACGTGTATGGCTTTTGTTGCCATACACACAAATATGCATATGTATGCTTTCACAATCTTTGCATTTCGAAGTTTCGATGTTTTTACGTATACCGCTCCCGTGAAATCAATCATAGTATTCGTGAACGGTTTATTCACGACGGTTGTCCTCGTCGTCGGCAAATTGCCCATCATTTGATGAGCTGTTTTCGGGCGAAATTTCCTGCAAATGACGCAGTTTTTGAGCTGCTTTTTGATCGTCGTTTGCCCATTGGTGATCCAAAACTTCTTTCGAATCAACGCTTCTGTTAATTTGGGACCAGTATGAAAGTTTGTTTCATGCACATCACGAATTATTAATTTTGCAATTTCACTTTTTTTTGGAATTAGAATCGGATGACGCATTTCGAATGGAATGTCTTCGTTGGTGATTCTGCCGCCGACGCGTAATATGCGTTTTTCGTCGATGAATACGTTCAATTTTAATAACTCACTGGTTTTTTCGATTTCTTTGCATTTTTCCAGGTCATTCACTTCACATTCGTAATATTCACTTTGCGCTATACGAATGATAAAATTCGTTGCTTTTTCTATTTCATTCGCAGTAATCGGAGCACCTTTGTTTTCGACTTTTATTTCTACGTTTTGGCATTTGATGCCTTTTTTCAGTGCCACTTTTGCTTTTAAATAGTCAACAAAACGAATGATATATGCAAACACTCTTTGCATTTTTTTCCATGACGATATGTTAGGCCAAATGATTTTTGAATCGTCAACAAATAACTTTTTTTTCATTTTTTCTTCACTCGTCACCACTAATGCATGAATTTTTTCTTCGTTAATTGCTTCGATATTGCCTTCCGATTGAACATCATAGTTCATTTTTCCATTTAAAAAATGTGGCCCGTGCCACCACAACGGATGATCGACTAATTCATCACCAAAAATCCCACGCGATGCGCAATCTGCTGGGTTTATTGCGCCCGGGATGTGGCACCATTGTGCATCTTTTAACTTGTTCACCTCTTTTATTCTTGACGCGACAAATTTTTTATATCGTAGTGGATCTGAACAAATCCACGCCAATGCGACCTTTGAATCGCTATAAAGAACAGTTTTTTCAATGTTCATGCTCATTGCTTTTCGTACGGATTTCACCAATTTTACCAGCAAAACGGTTGCACATAACTCCAATTTCGGAATTGTTTGTTCAATCATTGGAGCATTTTTCGTTTTTGCTGCTACTAGCATTACGTTTACTTGTTGATTTTCGTTTACAAATCGTAAATATACATTCGCAGAGAGTGCTTTTTTACAAGCGTCGCAGAAACCGTGCACCTCTACTTTTGTATTTACTGTAGTACCAAGCCACCGCTGCATTTTTATTGAGCTCAATGCACTCAATCGTGATTTAAACAACATCCAACGGTCGATGATTTCGATTGGCAATTTGTCATCCCAATCATACGATTTTTTATTTTCCTTTTTTAATTGCCACACATCTTGAAACAATATTTTTGCTTTGACAATGACCGGAGCGATCCATCCAAGAGGATCATATTGCAATGACGCGATTTCAGAGGACAATTGTCGCTTCGTTTCTGGTTTTGATTTCAAATTAACAGTGATTTGAAAAATGAACTCATCGGTTTCAGGTTTCCACGGA